CATGTTAAGTAAATTCTCAACACCTCATAGGTTATAGCAGTCTACCTCTCGGAGATAAAGTTAATAGACCTTATAATGTAATCCTGTCAGTCAAGAGAATAATAGTCCAGCCAAAATCCGTGTAATCTGTTAATTAACTCCCGGCTCAATATTTTGATGTTAACTAAATAATAATTATGAGAATTTCTTCCTCTGGATTAATTAATAACCAGAATCTACATCATAAAAAGTTTAACACGGTAAGTAGCTGTAAATCCACGAAATTCACATACTTCGAAATCGTGAGAAATTCATACAGGCTAAAAAGAATAAAATATCCACGAAAATTTCATCCAAATCTCAATGCTAGTGACATACAAATCCTAATATATCCGTCTAACTCATAAACTATACATATAATAAGTCCAACGGAACACGAAGATAGATTCACCCAAACAAAAACACATTTACAGAAGCCTTTTTTCAACTAAAAAAAAAGGACGTATATATATATATATATATATATAAGCATTAGATAGCGAAGCTACACGAATTCGCAGATCAACAATTTCATAGAATAACAACAGATAAACATGATATGAGGTGCATACCAGGAATGAAATTAATAATGAATTAATATACAATAGATCTATTAAACTGCAATGCATTAAAATGAAAATAAAATAGGAAAATTACCTTTGAAATTATTGATAGATTTATAGAGAGAGGGAAAAGCGGTGGTTAATTCAATGGGGAGGAGAGAGAGGTGGCGAGATCACGCACGCGCACACAAATTATCAAATAATGAAAAAATTGCACCACTTGCTAGTCTATATCATCATTTCATTATAGTTTTCAATGATGAATTGTTCCAAATTTGTTTAAAATCTCACTTGGTTCTCGTGTGTATAATTTTATAAAGTTAGCTTTGTTTTTCAACTCGAATTGGTGCCTAAAAATTTTTAAGTTAAGTATATTTTGTGTTGGGGGTCACGTGATAAATTAACAATAATTTAGAGTTTATTTGGAAGATTTTTTTCAGCGAAAAATGATTTTTCTAAAAAAATGTAATTAAAAAATAAGAAAAAATTATGAATTACATATGAATGCAAGGTTACAAATAATTTTAAAGAAAATTATTTTTCAATAAACCTCTCCCAAACAAGCTATTAGACGTCCCCCATTATTGTATATTGAGTGTGCAGTTGAAAATTTTTAGGACGCTATTAAATAAAAAAAGAAAATTTTTGGATCAAGTTGGTATATTTTAAAAGTTGAGGACCAAAGTGAGGCAATAGATTGAGGTCAAGCGGTACAATACTCCTTATCCAAAAATTGAGAGAGTCATATCAAGAGGGATAAGGTTGGAGAAATCTTAGCCGTTCATACTTCTTCAGTTCATTTATGACTTAATTTTTCCCTTTTTCCTCCATTCCTTTTATTGTTGCACCGCTAATACTTGATAGCATTGTCCATGAGTTGGGTCGACTAGGCTCAACTCTACCCATTGCACAATTAGCTTTTGCTCATCCTGGACAAGCTGAGCGCGAGCCAACTCATATAAAAAAAATTTGGCTTCATTCGTTTGTCCACCTCTTTTAATAATTTTTTTTTTTTTTTTACAATTCAAAGGGAAATTTTTTAATTTTTGTTCGGAATGTAGCATAGTCGAAAATTTGTAGACGGATTAATTTGAAAAATGAAATTTGTATAGTGTTCGAAAAAGTAAATTTGAAAGTGCATAAACCATCATCCTTTTTTCAGTCTGGAATGTTCTAACATGATAAGTAAAATTAAAATTATACATGAATTATTACTCAATGTACAAAAACGATGATTATATTCACACCACATTTATTAAATGTCATTAATATTTATTTATTATCATACTTATATACTTAATTTTTTTCATCACATTCTTATTTTCATTAATCAGAAAATCTTATCCTTAATAACGGTTTTCGTTCAAAAATATTGTTAACATGCTTTAAAATGAAAGTAAAATATTGAATTTCATTTCTTGAATTATTATTTGTTTTGCTTATTTAAAAATATACAATGGACAAATGAGTTTTTTACTCTATCTTAAAGAAAATTTGGAATGAAACCATAATTATGAACAATTTATGTTAATTTAAAAATAAAAATACGATGAAAAAAAGTTTGAGACATAAATGTAATAGTGTTATAAACCTTTTCATGCAATTAGAACGTGGTCTGACTATTAAAAATTGTGGTATAAATATTTAGTCGTACAATAATCGTCAAAATTGTAATTGATGAAACATTAGCAATCCTATAGTGAATTCAATATTCAAACCTTGTAGGTCCCATTAGAGCCTTAAATATATCTTATTTACCCCTACACCAAAACATTGACATTGTAGACATTATTAGATCACGTTTCATCGAAGATAATATCGTATGTTGTTGTCCATTTATCTGCCTCCATGCTAGAAGATCGTTTTTTATTTCTTCTTGATTTAAAATATAAAAATATAGTAAGAAAAATATCTGGTCCTCAATAGGAATTTTCATTTCATTTAGTTCTAGAACTAGAAGTAAAATGAAAAGAGGATGAATTCCACGTGGTCATCTATACTTAGATAGGTACATACATCGTCATCAACAAACAATCAACTAGAACAGTGGGTCGTAGATCAATGTTCCTACCTTGTGTGACAATATGTTGGGAACGTAAATTACATAGTAAAGTATTTTCCATATCACAAAGCATGGGGAGATCGAATGCTAAATGCGAAAAAAATTATTCGACAATACCCTTACAATCATATGAGTTAATACGAGAAAAGAGAATAACATAGGTAAATGCTCCCAATATTTTCAAAATTTTATCTCCTTGATAAAAGTAGTGTCATAAAAAAAGAAAAAAGAAAAAAAAAATAACCCTCTATTTATTATAAAAATTGCAATATTGAAGAAATGAGTTAGAAACAATACGAGCAGCGAGATAGTAGACGTTTGAGTACGTGTTGATCACATTAAAAAAAACATTCAAAAATTTCATGATATCAAAAGCAATCTACCCGTCATTACGATTTAAATCAAAATCATATAAATGTCTACTATTATAGAAGATTGTGCATGAGATATGCACATACATTTGTAAATGCATGTTTACGAGATGTGAAGATAGTAATAAAACCAATGACCTCTCTATTTTTTTTATAACCGTGGAGCAATGTATTTAAGGTCACACTATAAAATTAAATAAAATATATGACAAATACAATGTACGCGAAAAACTTTTCATCAAAATTGAGATTGAGTTGGCTAATCAATTGTTAGATGTAATTATTATCAACACTAACATTATCGAAAGTGAGACTACGAACTTTATTTTCACAACAAAATTCTCTAAGGATGGCCATTAAAAATAAAAAAAATATATTTTATGCATTATGTTGAAATTCAATGATGTTAAATATAATAATTTTGTATGCATAATCCAAATCATATCTATGTGATGCGTTGTGGCACACATATATCATTTATGGTTTTCTTGGACACAAGTAGGAAGTAATTGATTTGGTACCGAAATAAGTTCATAAATCATCAATAATTTGTGATTTTCTAAGATTGTATGGACTTGTGGCATTAGAACGATGCATTGGTACCTCTATTTGTGGGTGTGTACCTAGGATGAAGGCAAGTTATAAGAATCTCATCAAATGCATGCTTTCTATTATGCATAGCGGCAACTCCATACCAGCTATGAACATTATCACGTCTCTTCGCATTGTTTATAGATTGTAAACTTAGTTTATAAGAGTTTTGCTGGACCTTTTTGCCACTATCAAATTGAAGTTGGACATGCCTATTATAAATAGCTCATAATCGCACTGCATTTTTTGTGATGCATATTGTACTGTGAAGTGACAATTTTGGATGCACAAACAAATTCATTTCCACAATAATTGTATAATGCCTTTCAAGCCATTTTCCCATTCTCAATTAACATCTATTTTGCGAGTCGTGTCAACATTTTGAAATATTTTCATGGGCTTTAAGCTTCTTTTTCTCTTTGTAGATATTGTTTCGTCTTCTAATATTATCATGATTTATTTTTCTCTGTTCGTTAACAATGATATTATCAAAAATCAGAATATCGTTCGTACCAGAATATTGAAAAAAAAAAGGTATTAAAAGATTCCTAATATTTGATAATCCTTTACCGGTGATTAATTAAAATAATGTTATTTATTTAAAATTTAATATTCCATTAGTCATTACTAGTAGGAGTAGTAAGAAAATGTCAAATAAGGTAAAGATGTTTGTGTGCAACTTGCGGAAACGGCAGTGGGCTCGAACCTGCGCATTACATATTACTGTCGAGTGGTTTAAAAAAATACCAGCATTAAAAAGGGTAATTACTTCGGTACCAAGAAAACAGTACGACCAACAAAACGTGTGGATCGGAGAGCTTCGTGACATCACGGGATCACACACATCGCGCTCGACTAAGATATCGACACGTCATCACTCAGAAAAATTAATCTACACAGGCCTCTAGATATGTTCAAGAAAATATCTAGAGAAGGCTATAAGTATCCCTGCAGCTGTCTGGAAATATTTTTCTTTAGATAGTCTTCAGTTTAGTATCAAAATCATCTAGAAAAAACACTCTCGAAAGCTTACTTGTATAACCCAGGGAAAATTAACTACAGAGATAAAGGGGAAGCTCAATTAAATTTGTTCTGAGGTATGGATGCAATTCGGTTTTGTGGGCTTTTCATTTCCTTTCAGTTTCTGTTAGTTTCTGTACGACTGTTGTTAATAAATATTAGGGTTTTTTTTTTAAAAAAATTGTTCTTTCTGCCCTGTTTTGAAGATTTTTTTTTTTCCTTTTGATTTGGCTTAAGCTTTTGCGATTTGTTATTTAATATAGACTGGGAGTGTAAAGGAAGAAAAAGGGGAGGGAAATGCCCATTTTTGTGGGCTTGAATTCTGCGAGGAGGTTTTTCTTTTTGGTGGAAAACGATTTGTCAAAGTTACTTGTTTGAGTATTTATAGTTGATGTTGAAGGAGGATTTTTATTTAATAGAAAAGAATAGTTTGATTAGTTGCTTTCGTTTCTTGGCCACGATGAAATTTGGTTTGCTTAGTAAGTGGGGTTATTTGTGAAGACTTGGCATGTGCCAGCTGCTTTCTGTGGTCAGTTAGAGCGTCTCTCTGTTGCGCGAACAAAATAAAAGTATTTTGGGACATTGAAGTATTTTGATTGATGTTGGGATTTTGAATTTCCATTAGCACATTGTATAGGTCATTTGAAGATCAATCTAGGACTGATACGACCTCAGTGTCTACTTTGACACACGACATGTTGGGATTTTACGTCTAACATAATGTAACATCAGTGTCTACTTTGACTCTCTTCAAAAGTTGCACGAGATTTGTCGTGTGCATTTTCAACCAGTCGGTTACGTGTTCAGTTTTGGTCATAATAGTATTGATTGATATTCTGGGGAAAATACATCTTATTTGTTTATCTTGTAGATGATTTCCTATTAAGTCTGTAATTGATTTTATAATTGTGGAAGGTGACTGAACATCAGTTCTTTGTTTTACACAGGGATGGCACTCTTGGATCAATCTTTTAATCCTGTTTCTCAACCCATGGACTTCAATAGAAAGAGGAAATCAAGAAGTAGAAAGGATGGATCGAAAAATATAGCAGAGGCGCTTGCAACATGGAAAGAATACAACAGCAATCTCAATTCTGTGAATGATGAAGGTAAGGTGGCGTGTAAAGCTCCTGCCAAGGGATCAAAGAAAGGATGTATGAAAGGTAAAGGAGGTCCTGAAAATGCTCGTTGTAATTACAGAGGCGTTCGGCAGAGGACATGGGGTAAGTGGGTTGCTGAAATTAGAGAGCCTCACAGAGGTAGTAGGCTCTGGTTGGGTACATTTAACAGTGGGATTGAAGCTGCTATGGCTTATGATGAGGCTGCAAGAGTATTGTATGGCCCTTGTGCTCGGCTTAATTTCCCCACTTGCCATATGCCGAACGAGTTGACGAAGGAGTTTTGTTCATTGCCAGCTACATTGACATCCGATTCCATAACTTCTAGTGCGTCTGATGTTTTTCTGGCAGACCATATGGGACCTAAGGCTGATGTTTCGAACATGAAAGTCAAAGATGCTGAAGGTGAATCACGGACAAACAAATATGAGCATTCGCTGCTGGGTGAGTCCGGTCGTGCAGTGAAGGCAGAAATAAAGGAGAAACCTGTGAGGGAGGAAATAAGGGAAGAACCTCCTCGACACTTGGATAGCATTGAAAATAGTAGGTTCAATACAAAGGAAGACCCTACATATTTCAATGAAAGTTCCGAGGCTGTGCAAAATCCATTGGAGGCCTTCTCTTGGGAGGAAATGTTTGATGTGGATGAGTTACTGACCACATTGGATTCCACTAGTTACCATGCTTCAGAGCCCAAGACTGGATTGACGTCACATGGTGGTCAAGCAGGGCAATCCACTTATGGTGCTATGCGTGCTCCAAATCTATCAAATGACTTACCGAACTCGGATGTGAAGATGCTTGATAGTTCACCCCACATGGAGCAGGCACCTTCTGTATCTGATCATGATTTTGATTTCCTTAAACCAGGACGACGAGAGGATTTCGATATTACATTTGATGATCTGTTACTTGATTTACATTCAGACTGGGCACCAGAATCTGTTTGGATCCATGCTGATTGAGAAGTGGAACGGATTTTCTTTCTTGGTATAATATTCAAGTTGGACTTTTGTAGTAGTAGTTAGTATGTTGATCTTCCAGATTGATTAATTATTTACGAAGGTCTTTTAGAAACAGGAGCATTATTTGGCATTAGACCGGTCGATACTGTTGTATATGTACATGTTTTTTTATTATTTCTGTATGAACGCCTCTCTCTCTTTTGTCCTTTTTCCTTCCCTGATCGGTCGTCTCAAGCTGCTTCTCGGCGAGTTTTTAAATTAGGGGATTTGGCTCTTGCTGGAACTTCTCAAGTAAAAGAGTTGTCTTCTTGTACATGGTGGGTTGTGTGCTCATACAGTCATACAACAATATTCTTATATTGAATAAAATTATTTTTATTTCATTTATTATATTTAATTATTGAGCATGCGAATTAAAGTGCTTATGATAATATAAGTTGGGTACTTGCGTTGAGAAGTAAGGTGTAACACAACTTATATTTTGATTATAAATAATTTGTTCACTACATATTTGTAAGGGTTGACACATTGTATCGGAATGTTTTAGTGTTGTCTGATTCACTATTCAGATTTGTGATTTGTCTTTATCACAGAAATAGTTAAAGATGACACTAGTACACTTGGAGTGTATTGAACGGATCACGTGTTGATTTTATTTTCATAGTATGACCATGCAGAGAATTAAATTCCACTTGTCTGTTTCATCTATATCTCTTGATTCATCAATGGGTGAGATCAATTTGATTGATCAAATATCTCGATGAGTTGGGAACTTGAGAATGAAAAAAGTAGAGAATATGAACTCGTGTTGGGAACCATCGCCATAAAAAATGGGTAGAGTGATTACTTAAATATCTTTTGTTGAACGGTTAAAATCTGAACTCAGTATTTAGTGACGGCTAAATTTCGATATCTGTGATTTGTTCACAGGACAAATTAGAGCTTGTTTGGTCGGAATTTTTGGGCGAAAAATTGATTTTGAATAGTGATATGATGAGAAATGTGTGGTTGAAAAATAAAAAAAAATTATTGATGTGACAAAAAATATTATTTTATTGAAGAATGTGTGGTTGAAAATGAGAATTGATTTTGAGAANTATGATGAGAAATATGTAGTTGAAAAAGAAGAAAAAATTATTGATGTGATGAAAAATATTATTTTATTGAATAATGTGTGGTTGAAAATGAGAATTGATTTGAGAATCAATTCTCAAATAAAAAACAAACACTCCCTTATACTCAAGTTAGTGAGAATAATTAGATGGGCAAAACGATATTTTATGCTCGTACATAATTATCGAATCTCAAATGAGAATAAAATACATATAAGGTAGGTCAAAGGAAACTATTACATATTTATTGGCTCATGTGATCTTATATATTTTGAAAGTTTAGTCTTTTGTTTTTAGTGAAAAAAAAATAAAAAAAAGCAAAGACTAATAATTAGATTTGGTGGTCTAGAGTTGACTAGACATGATCTAATTATTGGAGTTTGGATAATATATGTCCAATTAGATCTCTGTGGTAGCTCTAAAAAGTAATTGAACTTAATTACGATAATTATAATAGTTTTGGATTTAATTGTAATTACAATAAAGTTTTTTACTTACTTGTAATTACTATAAAAGTNTCAGACTGGGCACCAGAATCTGTTTAGATCCATGCTGATTGAGAAGTGGCAACGGATTTTCTTTCTTGGTATAATATTCAAGTTGGACTTTTGGAGTAGTAGTTAGTATGTTGATCTTCCAGATTGATTAATTATTTACGAAGGTCTTTTAGAAACAGGAGCATTATTTGGCATTAGACAGGTCGATACTGTTGTATATGTACATGTTTTTTGGTTATTTCTGTATGAACGTCTCTCTTTTTTTATTTTTTTCCTTCCCTGACCGATCGCCTCAAGCTGCTTCTCGGCGAGTTTTTAAATTAGGGGATTTGGCTTTTGCTGGAACTTCTCAAGTAAAAGAGTTGTCTTCTTGTACATGTTGGGTTGTGTGCTCATACAACAATATTCTTATATTAAATAAAATTATTTCTATTTCATTTATTATATTTAATTATTGAGCATGAAAATTAAAGTGCTTATGATGATATAAGTTGGGTGCTTGCGTTGAGAAGTAAAGTGTAAAACAACTTATATTTTGATCATAAATAATTTGTTCATTATATATGTATAATGGTTTGACACATTGTATTGAAAGGTTGTAGTGTTGTCCGATTCACTATGCAGGTTTGTGATTTGTCCTTATCACAGAAATAGTTAAAGGTGACACTAGTACACTTGGAGTGTATTGAACGGATCACACGTTGAGTTTATTTTCATAGCATGATCATGCGGAGAATTAAATTCCACTTGTCTGTTTCATCTAAATCTCTTGATTCATCAATTGGTGAGATCAATTTGATTGATCAAATATCTCAACGAGTTGGGGAACTTGAGAATGAACGAAGTAGAGAACATAAATTCGTGTTGGGAACCGTCGCCATGAAAAATGGGTAGAGTGACTATTTAAATATTTTTTTTGAACAATTAAAATCTGAACTCGGTATTTAGCGACGGCTAAATTTCGATATCTGTGATTCGTTCATAGGACCGTTAAAAAAATTTATACTTAAGTTAGTGAGAATAATTAGATGGGCAAAATGATCTTTTATGCTCGTACATAATTATCGAATCTCGGATGGGAATAAAATACATATACGGTAGGTCAAAGGAAAGTATTACAGATTTAATGGCTCCCGTAATCTTATATATCCCGAGAGTTTAGTCTTTTGCTTTTAGTAAAAAAACGAAAGACTAATAATTAGATTTGATGGTCTAGAGTTGACTAGACATGATCTAATTATTGGAGTTTGGATAATATATGTCTGATTAGATCTCTGTGGTAGCTCTATAAAGTAATTGAACTTCATTACGGTAATTATAATAATTTTGGACTTAATTGTAATTACAATAAAATTTTGTACTTATGTGTAATTACTATAAAAGTTGTAAATTTAATTGTAATTGTAATTGAAGTTTTAGTANTTTTGTACTTACTTATAATTACTATAAGTTGTAAACTTAATTATAATTGTAATTGAAGTTCTAAGACTACACATGTAATTAAATGTAAACTAATTGGATTTGGATTTTGGACTTTAATTAAAACACCTACCTGAATTTCAATTGAGACTCCTATTTGATATTGAAATTATTATTCTACATGGACCCACCCATCAGTGTAGTCTTGACTTTAGAGAATACTATAGAAAATTTGGAGGTTTGAAACATCAAGTTCTTGCAATTAAAAGACTGGAAGCTCGTGATCCAAAAAACTGAAAGTTCATTATTCAGATCCAGTTTTAGAATTAATCATCGAATTCAGGTAAATATTCGAACCACTAATTTTTGTTATAACATACACGTGAACGATTATACGATCTTATTTATTGAATTAAAGAATTTTTTTAATTTTTGCATAATTCCGCTTCCGTATTCCAATGGTATAGATACCATATATAGATGTTAGCTTTTATATGTTAAAAAGCATGACACACTTCAAAAGATGCTTAATAATTCTTTCAACCATGCTACAAGTACAATTTTTTTGACATCAAATGCCTGTTTGAGGCACATTATATGCTCTCATTTTTAGAAAAAAATGATCCGTTAATGGGCCCCACAAGCCACCATAGTTGACTTCTTCTCATATTATAGAAGCAGCAACGGTAAGTTTTCTTTACTTTCGTACAGCAACGGTCACTTTTTGTATATTAATATGGCTCAAACAGGCTGCAAGTTTGACAATGTGTCACATGTTGAAAGTTGAGGGGTCAGTTTTTAAACACCACACACTATCCCGCCCATTCGAATTTGAATTAACATGGATTGTCAAATTCATTGTCAACC